GATCATTAATAGTTTCAAAAAGACATAATAATTTAATTGGAAATTAAAGATATATGTAACTTGCCTGATGAGGAGTCAACATCTTAAAAGCTATATCAAGTTGGGATGAGCTCAAGCTAATAGTCGTTGGCCACCTCAGCATTCGAGGTCTAGCCTCAGGATTCACAGAAGTAATCAAAGAAGTGTGCTTATAAAACCATAACTGTGTGAAAAAAGGCATATTCAGCTTTACACAATGAAATAAATAGTGTTTGGCTTTAATACGATGTACTTACCGTTAGCAAAAAAAGGAAACCATTTATATATCCCAGAGGCCGGTTCCACCTTATTTTGATGGCAACAACATTTATTTGCTCAATAAGATATTCACATAGCGCAGCGGGCCAATTAAATGAAACAAACGTATCTACATTCTCTCCAAAGATGTAAAGTCCTTTAGATACACTGAAATTATTAGACGGAAAAAAAAAATTGATAACAAATATTTTATATACAATTGATTAAAAGTGGCAGAAGACTCCATAGTTCCAAAGTTCAACAGATCAGCCTTCATTTGATGGGCATCAACGTCACAGGATGGAACTTTCTTCCACTTTGGAACTTCTCCTCTATTTGTCATGACACTCAACAGGGTCACTTCATCAGGATTAATCCTCAGATCTTTCCCTCCCAGTCTGAAAACCATTTTTTCATGTATCCAACATTGCAATATTTGAAGTGTGACCACATTGTCTTGGGGATAAGGTGGAAGTGCAAAGAACTGATCAACATTCAAGGTTTTCAGCTCATTCATCATCTCAGATATAGCAGGCCTGACCTTATCAAGTGCATTTCTAACATCAGATGGTCGACATCTATAACTAATGGACCTTGGGTTCACAAATATACATCAAACAAAATAATGCAAAAAATATAAGAAGTTATGTAGAAATGTTTTATTACGGGAATACTATGGTAATATTTAAGCAATTTTATGTGATCTCATATAATATTATTTAGGTTATATCATAGTAATACTTACGTTGTATTCTAACATTGTAGTATTTTGGTTATATTATGGTTGTATTGCTGTTGTATTTTTGGTACTTAGGTTTAGTACTTAGGTTATATTATAGAAGTTTTTCCATTGTATTCAGGTAATATTATGAAGGTTATATTCTGGTGTAGTATTAAGATTATATTCTAGTAGTTTTTCCGTTGTATTCTGTTATTATTATAGTATTATCTCTGTAACACCTAGGTAATATTATTTAGGCTAAGGTTATATTCTAGTGTTACTCAGGTTTAGTACTTAGGTTATATTATATAAGTTTTTCCGTTGTATTCAGATATTAATATTATTAAGGTTATATTCTGGTGGTGTAGAATTAAGGTTATATTCTGGTAAGTTCTTCGTTGTATTATGTTATTATTATAACATTATTTCTGTAATACTCAGATAAGATTTAAGGTATTGTTAAATAGTGATTGGTTTTATATTATAATTAAATAACAAGTTTTATTGCGGTTTATTGTTGATTTTTTAAGGTAATATTGTGTGCACATGTGTACAACTCAAAAACACCAAAATAAAAATTACTTGGATGAACCCTCTTGGATTTCCTTCTTTTTTCGCTATTTCCCTTCCTTTTTCTTGGGTTTCTTGGCCTTCATTTTCGATTCCTCTTCGGTTTCCAATGTCTAGGGCTCTTCCGTCTTCATTCTCACTGGGCTCTCTTCGGTTTCCAACAGCAACTCTAAATCCCTGAGTTTCTCTGATTCAAAAACCATAAAAGATAGAATGAAGATCAAATGAAGTTGCTCCGTGCTCTTCTCGCTCAGGTGTCGTTTGGTTTTCCGATGAAATAAATTTTCTTTCAGGCGCGCTGCTAACTTTTACTTGTTTCGGGCCAGATTCGGGTCGGGTCGCGCCGTAAGCATGCCTCAATTTTATTTTTTAAGTTGTGGGGCCCACTGATCCAGGGGTCATCTTTCCATTAGACACCGCACACATAGTTGCGTGCGGTGTCCGCACATAATAAGAACTCCATATTGTGGAAATGGAGGACTAAAAAAAAAAAAGATAAACGTTGTACGATAGGGTACCGTTCAAAATAATGCTCACTCTTCAAAATTAGGTTCACATTTCATTTCCTATCAAAGAATTTAGAATTTTACTTGTGTAACTGAAAGTTTTTCTTACAGTTCTCTGGTTATGACTAAGGGCCCGTTTGGAGGCGCTTATTGGGAGCGGCGGCGTTATGAGAACGTCGCCTTCTTGTTTGATAAGGGCATTTGGTTCAGCATTTTCCCATCGCAATTCGTCCGCGTCCGATAAAACAAATAGGAGATTCGACGCTGTGCGAGCCCCGGGTCCGGCATTAGAGATCTGCGTTACCCTAGGAATTTCGAATGTGCCCTCGATATCCCTTGACGTCTCCCTCGCTGGTTTCCTTTCTGGTTCATCGCCTTAGAGGAGATCAAACCTTCTTCCTTTCTTATTTTCTCTGCTGATCATCGGGAATCCATTCGATTTCCTTAATTGTGATTCCTAGAATGCTTTCTTTGCTCAGATCTATGCAATAAACGATCGTTGTTTTCCTTTCTGATCCATACAACTTCCATCTATTTTGTGACATTAGATATTAGGCATTTTATCTGGTTTTTAGCTATAGTTCATGAGATATTTGCCATGCGTTGTTTGCTTAGAGGTACTGGCTCTGAGTATTGATTTTATTTGTTGCATAACTTACATAAAAAATGAAAGCCTTTGAATGGATCTCGCTAAAGTTCGAAATATTTGTGTGGCATAAATGTAAAAATTGATGTATAGGTGTGAATATTAAGGACATCTTACATATATGTCACTTTACAACTTACACATTTCAGATATTTGGTTATTTGGATTCAAACAGTATTTACAGTAATGTGGGATTCAAACAGTAATTTGATCAGTAATTTGATATTTATTTGATATTTGGGATTAAAACAGTATTCACACATGCCATTTTAAAGCTTTTACACATGTTTGTGGGATTCAAAGGTAGTCCCTAATATGTGATATTTCGTTGTGGATTTTCATCTTTATTTGGGATTCAAACAGTAAAACATTTAGGCATGCCACTTTAAAGAATGCAGTGATTCTCGTGCTGAAGTGGAATGCAATAATTCTTATCAATCGGTTCTTATGCAACATGGATATTTCTCGAATGTAAATTGCAAGTAAAAGAAAATGCATTATTTTTTTTAGCCTAGTCGAATGGTTGCCTATGTAATCTTAAAGATTTCCTTAATAGAACTTTCGTGTATTGCCTTCTGTGGATGTAGGTCATTAACTGAACCACATAAATCATTTGTGTATTTATATATTTATATTTTATTTTTCATCAAATAACTATGTTGTTGTTTGTATTGGTGGCTAATGTTGTTGTTTGGAGACTGTTGTTGTAGTTGGGTTGATGTTGTTGTTGGCTAGTGTTGCTATTGAGATTTAAAATTATTGCGCTGCCAGTAGTCATGCCAGCAGTCATGAAAATTCGGTATTTTTTGTGGTTGATAGTTCAGCTGAGAAGAGGCGTACCCTGAGTTTGAAATTAAATATTTTCATATTTATCATTGTAGTTGTACTTGTCTTTGTATTTTTTTTATTTATTCTGGTACTCATGAGGCTGTGAGAACTTTATGTAATCTATTAAAATTTATATGTGATGATCTTATGTTTCTGCACTATATACTTCTGTTCTAACAATAAGCAATTTTGAATAAGTTGTCCCAAATAGTTTTATCAGACAGGGGCAATAATGTCATTTAACCACTAATAAACTGATCTAAATAAACTGTCATAAACAACAAGCCAAATTATTTTGATAATCTACTGATTATCGTATTATGAAAATAATCTACAGCTGTGTCAAACAGACTTAGAGTTATAAATAATCCACAGCTGCTAGTTGCTGAAAAAACTGTTCGAGACAGCTTATTCAGAATAACTTATTGATAGTACAAAAATAAGTACAGAAACATACAATCATCACAGATTAGTTACAAAAGATGACATACAAATCTCACACTCTCGTGAGCATCAGGAGAAATAAAAAAGTACAAAGACAAGTACAACTACAATAAGAAATATTAAAATATTTAATTTCAAACTATGGGTACGCTTTTCCTCAGCTGCACTATCAACCTAATGGCAAAGGAGAAAATCCGACTGTCATGTGCACTCCCTTCCCAGCCCGCCATCACAAAAATAAAACACATGTTGAAGTCGCATATAATCATGACATTCTAAGTTGTTAAACTACTCCGACCGATGTATGCAACCTTCTCGTGGTTGGGTAGTCGGGCATCAACGTGGGTACTGTCAATTGCACAAATACTGTTCTGTTTAATTGTCCGTTAGAGAGTAAAAATATTATGAAAGTATGACATGTAATAAAATAAAAACACTCATAGTTACATTGAAATATGACATGTATCGAGGATCGTTGACAATTTGTTGAGGAGTGCTAGCAAATGATGGATCATCTGATTTAATTTTTTAAACTGCTAAACTAATAAGAGCCTGTATGCCTTTAGAAAAATAACGACTAATAGTTTAAGATGAATGCCGAAATATTTTCATAGCTCCTCTAATTGATTCATTTTGTGCCAGAATGTACAGTGTTATAGCCAACACCTCCCTACATGTTGTCCTAGAAGAACCCTGAAAACCGTGATTTAGACATAACTCATGCAGAAGATCCATAAAAATATGTGCTATAATTCTGAAATTATTTCTAAACCCTTATTGGATGGCCAGAAAATATTTCATCAATCCATTTATCTCCAACAAAGTTGGATATCATACGGGGAATGCGATCAATGTAGATCAGACACCGCACTGCATGAGATGTCTTGTAGATCAGACACCGCACTGCATGAGATGTCTGCAATAATTATTCGTGTGAGGTATATCTCTGCATGAGATGTCTGCAATAATTATTCGTGTGAGGGGGCCTCACAACTTAATTTCATTGGAATGGGTGTACTGATTTAATATATTTTCCAATCCTTCAGTTCCCCTGCACCTTCATCTCCGGTACCTTTCTTCACTCGGACGAGCTGAGCGATGGGCGTGGCCGGCGAGTTCGCGGTCATTCTCTTAGTCCTGTCGGCAATGGTGCTCATGCTGCTTGCGTCACTTGCTTCGTCCAATTCCGAGGGTGACGCACTCTACGCTTTCAGACGGAGCCTCTCTGACCCCGAAAACGTGCTGCAGAGCTGGGATCCTACGCTTGTCAATCCCTGCACTTGGTTCCATATCACCTGCAACCAGGACAATCGCGTCACCAGACTGTATTCTTGCAATCCACCTTCCTCTTTCTTATTTTATCTTTGCAGCGTTACCGCTAGATTGATGGCCGAGTGTTGGCGAGGTTACTTGAGGATGGAGAGCAGAAAAGCAATGGAAAACTAGTTTATTAGATAAGATGGATCTTATTTGTTCTCCTTGATTAGGTGTTAGTGTTTTACTACAGTTCGGAGACCTTGGGTTCTTAGGGTTTCTCAGTTACTTTCTACCAGGGTTTCTATGAGGTAAAAAAAGTTTTCAATACATCATTTTAAGAAGCTTTGTCGGATAAATCAGGATTTTAATTAATGCAGGAGCTTAGAAGCTTCCTCACAAAAGTTTTGGCCACGCGATCATTGTTTTGCAATAGGAAAAGGGTTTAACAAAGAGTGCCTTTGTGTTTGGAGCTTTTATAGGAATTAGCGACACATGGAACAGTGAGAGGATGTTAGGAAATAGGTGCCATGGGTTGGTGAGTTTGCTGGAGCTGCTTGGTTGCCCACAAAACCACTATATTGGTCGTGATTTTGTGTAATTATCTACTGACTGTTTCGGTGATTATTCAAGTATCTATTTATTTGAATTTTCCATAAAAGTAATGGAGTTTTTTAAGATCTGAAAAGAGCAGAAGAGTTAAATTGATGATGAACATTCTATAAAGCCATGGAAGCTTAACATACAACAATTTATTTTTCCCATTTTTCCAGAAATAATATTTATATTAAACCCAGTTTTTTGGTATAACTTTTTTTATGTTCTGTTCAACAATTAGATGTATCGAGTATCCAACTCGAATTCTCTTCCTTAAGGAGAAGACTAAACTGGCATGGGAACTTCTGAACAACTGTACCGACGAGAATAAACAGTGCATTAACTTTTTATGGATGCCTGGAGCTAATTTGTCATCATTTATGTTGGTGCAAGGAATTTATTTTATATTGATATTTTATTGGAGGGTAAAAAACTCTCAGCTCTTCTGATATGAAGTTAAGTTCTATTCAGCTTTGGGGGACAAAATATAATATATACTTTGAATATATAGTTTCATGATCTAAATTTTCTATATTGCTCATGCGATTAAAATTTACACTTCTATTGTTTTCCAGTATGATAGAATAAATTATAGTAATTGTAAAGCAAAGTTTTGATGTAATCACTGACATATCACGATTTACTGTTTGCTAACACAAACATAGGCAATGACATGCAATACAAGTGTACTAGAGATCAATTTGTAGCTCATAACTTTTATGTTAAGCAAAGTTTATTTTCTTTGATGCGAGTAGGGAAAATATACATGTCGAGGAAATAGGTTCTTTTGTATATTATTGCTTGGATATAAAATACTACTTATAAACATGCAGGATGAATGTAGAAGATAACAGAAAAAGTACAGAATATCCCCAGTTATGGAGTTGTGAATGTGCACCTCTCTAATCAAATATTCTTTTAATATAATTTTCATTACATTTTTTTCCTCGTTTATTCCATACACTAGTAGCTCATCAAGCTAAAAGCCTAAAACATACATATTTGATGAATTGACAGCTTTAGCTTTTAATTAAAAAGCAATAAAGGACCTAAATCTTAGCGAAGAGCTATTTGTGCCAAATGTGCACCTCCCTAACTATGATATATTTAATTTGCCCATGGACAATGATATTGTTGGTAATATACATGACAAAATGAGTTTCACATCCTAAGCAATGGTATACCAAACTCTCTTATAAGTGTTTTACCCACATAATATTTACATATTGATTGGGTTCATAGCTCCGTATTCATCTTTTATACTACATGCAACCATAAACATTTATTTATTTGTTTTTTTCAAATGATTAGGTTACCTTTTAAAATATTATAATATCCTAAGACTGACTTCCTGCCTTCAATTGAGCTGACATAATCAACATCTGAGAATACTTCAACATCTAGATGATTAATCTCAATATATAACAATTCCTTTCCATGGGGATGGATATGAACGATTGGGACATACCAAATTTATGAAATGAAGAGTATAAATGATCTAATGAAACATAAGAGTGAATATGATTAGTGGTTTGCTATCTTTTTCCTTCTTTGGTATGTCAACTAGTAAGTGTAGATCATGAAACATAAGGTTGGTGCTTAGTTAAATATGTCAAAAAGGGTAGATGTGTTGCTTTGGAATGAAGTTGATTTCATTGAGAATAAAATTGTAATGGGGTTGAAGTGGAGTGTTCGAAATTGCGGGGCACCAAGGTCCCAATTGTTGGACGTTTGTAATATTGCAGAATAAATGTTTCCCGTGATCATTGGATAATTGAGTCCGATTCTGCCTTAATTAAACTTTTCCACGATTTGTTTTACTTATCCAAATTTTTTTCTAGGGTTTTTTTTCAGGCAGGAGACTTCTTATATGTTTTATCTTTTGTTTTGGGAACTTTTGGTTTTATTTGTGTGGTTTGGAGATTTTAACTCTGATTTCTAACTTAAGGATTGTTGCATTATTTTTTTTTTGCAAGTTTTGTGTCTGTAGTTTGTGCCGGAACAGTTGGTGAACCTCCATGATATTTATACCATGCTATATTATGGTTCTCTTTGCTATTTTTAGACGGGATAACTGCAGGTCGATGCCAATTCTTGTTTGGACGCCATCAAATTTGCGGAATATCATTCTTTCCTTATTCAACAACCGCCTCTTCACTAAACTCTCTTCCTAAACACTTTCTAGGCTCCCTAGAATAGTATTAGGGGTACATAGATATAAAAGTTTTTGGAGGAATATGAATAGAAAATGAAGATTAATACGGGCATGAGGGAGAAAATAACTTTGTTCTCATGAAAAGTAACATTGAGCAAAGTGTAAATGCTTCAGGTAAGAGGGTCATAGAATTGATGTCCATTATAAGTGTACGAATGCTCATGATCTATATGCTTACTAGTACGAGAACTTATTTTGCAATTGAAGCGCATGAACAAAGCTAACACAAATCAAATATTCGATGTGTAAGAGAAAATGAAGTTTGATTGGGTTGAATATAAGAGAGAGATGAAATGCTATCTTATAGAGGCAAGCGAACTTGATTGATAAAATAATAGGCATTCAAGCTTAGGGATATCAAAAAACTTGTTGTAAACAAATAACTTATATTAAACTTGCTAAGAAGTTCATGTTTATTTAGTTTGTTCAATAAGAAAGCTTATTTTGAAAAATTATTATTTGCTCCTCTTCTTAATGAGCCGAACATAAAGAAAACCTTATTTGATCTTATTTGGCTCATTATTAGCCTGAAATATATATGTATATATATTTTAAAAATCTATTTATTAGTTTGTAATAAGTAGAATGATTCTATTGTGCTTGACTTATTATTTATTTATTTATTTATTTATTCAAATTAGCTCTTGTACAACTGAAATTCGAACGAGCAAAAGATAAACACACAATAAGCTCGTCAAGCTCGGCTCTTTTATACTCCTACTTAAAGCTACATGCCAATAGAATTATCAAGTAAGTACGTTAAAGCTTGTTTAGCATTAAGAAGAATGCAACGCCATCATGTTAAGTTGTAAAGGAAATTTTTGTTGAATAATACCATCGTTAGAATTTAAAATATGAATATAAAAATGCATGACTCTAGAGCTTCATCATTGTGCTAGTTTGGAATGATGCAGATAACTTACATATATTTTAAAAGTCTTTTGATTAATAATTGAGCAAGTTAGTCGAAGTCACCCTAGAATTATAATAAATGAATTTGACAAAATACTAAGAACGTGGGCGAGTAAGAACAATAATTAGGTTTTGAATTTTTGGGTAAACAAAACCTAAAGGAATATTTTGAAGACTACTGGTTATGGAAGGAAAAGACATGTAATTATGTTTTCCTAACTCCCGGACATAACTACTAAATTTGAAATGATTAGGAACATACATAATCTTAAAGCTTGTTTGAGGAGGATGATCCAACCAACAATGCCAATGATATGCAATAGTGGTGGAAGAGGGTGGAAGTAGCATCATTGAGTTGCAGCTTTCTCCAATTTTAAATTCTCTTTAAATCGTCTTCCTCGAGCTGAGACCAAAGTACATATTGAGAGTGATAGAAGCTTTATGAATTATTAACAATTTTTGTAAGGCAATGAATAGATAATCATTCGAAAAAAAGCTCTGGGGCACACTAAACATCTCCGGCAATCATATATTTGAAGTGATGTGCAATGCCATTTATAAGAACGAGAGAAGGGGAACCATCAAAATAATTACAGTTGTTTGAGGTGACATTTTAAGTTATTAATACCTGATAAATTTTTTAATTTTTTTATATGATATAACTGTTGTGATTTATATTTTAGTTTGAATTTTTCGGTTAGAATATTGCAAGTTGACTGAGAGAAAAGGTTGCGGTTCGACAAGTATTAAGCAAACAGGTGGATTACAAGTAAATAATATAAAATGTGAAGAATTTTAAAAAAATATTTTACAAGTATTAAACATATAAGTACAATAATCTCACAAGTACGTCAATTACTACATAATTACCCCTTTTGATATAAAAATATAAGGTTTTATTAAGTCCTCATTGCCTTAATAAATACAAATAACAATTACCAAAATTATAAAACACTTAAATGAATTAATCATTCTTGACATCATAATTTTTTGTATGTGGAACAAGTTCGGTTAGCTCGCTTATTTTGGGATAATGCTAGGTCATCCGCTTTTTTCTGTTGTTGATGCAACGAACTACCGTTTAATTTTTGCCCCAATCGTGTTGAATAGGAGTAGATTTGGTTTGAAGGGTTGTGTGTTGATATGTTTAGATTTTAAAATAAAATCAAGAATATGGCCTAAATTTAGACTATGTAGCAACTGTAAGAAGCATTTTGTAAATGGAACACGGTCTGTTAGCTCGCTCATTTCCAGATAATGCTAGGTCATCCGCTTCTGATGGTTGTTGATGCGATGAAATACCTTGTAATTTTGGTCCCAATTGCGCTCTATAGGTGTAGATTTGGTTGAAGGGCTGCACAAAGATATATTTAGATGTTAAAATAAACTCAATAATATGGCCTAAATTTAGATTATGTAGCCACTGTAAGAAGCATTTTGTTGCATGGTTTAAAAAATCATTCGATGCGTACACCATGATGCAAACCTTGATACGGAGCCCATAAAAAAATGCCTTAAGGCTTGCTCTCATTGTCCCATGCGAGGCTTATGCCTTTTTTCGGAGCATGTAGCGCATGCCTTGAATTTTTTTATCGTTGTTAAAACACGTGATTGAATTTTTTTGGCACATGCCTTGAATTTTTTTTTCCTAACATTTGTTAGAAAGCATATAATTTTATCGTTGTTAAAACACGTGATTGAATTTTTTTCGAACTATTGTTCAACATGGTTCGAATTATGTTCCAATTTTGTTTGAACCTTGATGGAACATGGTTTTAACATGAATAAGATTTAAACACTTATTTGAAAAAATTGCGTTTGATTTTTTTTTTTTTTTTTTTTTTTTTTTAACAAGTTTAGGGCATTCGTTTTGAACATGTTTTTTTTTTGACAAGTTTAAGATTCAAACATGATTCTTGTTCCATCATGGTTCAAACATATGTTCTAACAAGTTTCATGTTTTTATTTAAATTAACATGTAATATTGAGATTTGTATTTTATATAGCTGATGATTTATAACATATTTATGAATTATTTTTAATATTTATGAATTATTTTTAATTTTATGAGGTTTGATTTTCTTTGATTTGAGACTTGAGCTTCGATCCGTTTTAGAGCCAACGTTTGCTCCACTTGAGCTAAACACCTTATATCTAGATTTCTCCTTTTAAAACTTTATTTTGAAGTTTATGAAGCATTCTCATGGCGAAAAAAGCTGCTAACAACAGTCTTAAAGGGCGAGGTCGAGCTTTCATAAATTTTCCACTTTTTATTGGATAGAATGGCAAAGTTTTTCTTCAACATAATATCCCTTAATGGACAGAGTACCGAGTTTAGGATTGTGATCCTATTAAGAGATTTGATGAAGATAGTATTCACTTTTGTACAATCAATAGGCGACTACATTTTTCAATAGAACAAACCGATATGCCATGGCAGGAAGATTAAAAAAAAATGACTAATATCGCTCTTATTGATATCTTATTTAAAGTCTTTTAACTGGGACCTGACATAATAATCTCAGTTCTTAATGAAAATTCATACTATTGTAGAAGATAAAAGAAAACTATAATGACAAGGGGAGATTTATTGAAAGAGATTCATTTGTCTTTGGTGAGGTAATGAATGCCTTTAATTTTTTTAATGGATGCCAATCCGTATGGCTAGCAATCACCAGTCAACATGGAAAATGTTTTATAAAAGAAGTGAAATTAACTCAAGTGGGTGCTTTATAATATTTATGGGTCACCTTAAACCTAGCAAATGCCCATTAATGTTAATGAGTGGAAGCCAAGATATTGATTTTTTTTTTGTTCAAACATAATTTTGAATTGGAATACTCTTAATGATGACACACTATTAAAGCTATAAAAAATCAGAGTTTTAGGAGATAGATTTAGCTTTTCTAAAGATTTTATTAGTGTACAAAAAATATTCAAATAAGATTTTGTTGAAAGATCTGCATGCACTTATATCTATTGATTTATATTCTCTTGTTGTGGCCTTTTTTTTATTCTTTTATGAATTTTACCATCCACTATAAGGATTGCGGATCATCATCAAATCATTGTGGACTTTATGTTATGTACATATTTTACAAATTTATGTTTGCTGAGGACTGGTTTTTTTTAATCTATCACCTGATGGTCAGCAATTCTAAACTTTCATGTTAATGTGACGATGCAGGGATCTAGGCAATTCAAACTTGTTGGGCCAGCTTGTGCCTGAGCTTGGAAAACTCGAACATTTGCAATATTTGTAAGTAATTATTATTGATATGAATATTTACACCCAGAGAACTTAACCATGGTTAAATATTGTTTGCTTTTGTCAGAGTTGAAAGTTAAAAAACTGTGATTTATTTACAGAGATGATTATTTGGAAATGCCTTTATTTTCCAGACTTAGTTGATACTGTTGAAAACTAATTGTAGCGTGAAAGGAATTGTGCGGACACTATGGTAAAAGATAATCATTCCACTAAACTCAACATAACTTACATAATTGAAAGAATACAAATTACTTATTAGACTGGATTTGTAACTTTATGGTGAAAGATAATGACTCAATTTACCGAACATAATGCTTAAAATTGCAAACATGCCTTTATACTAGTTGTTTTTCATTCTCTGCAAAACTCTATATAGTCATTAGAATCCACAAATTCAATATTGTGTTAACAATGTATTTCCATCACGTTGCTGTGTTGCGGACATCATCACGTACCTCTGATATATGTTGTGGAAAGTTACCTGACAAATTTAATGATTTTGGAAACTAATATCTCAAACGGGAAACTTTTATTTTATGTTTTCCTGTGGATTTTATGAGTTTCAGAATCGAATATGACAACTTCTCATGGAACTATTGAAATTTGGTTGTCTTTGAACCGATGAATTTGAATTGTCTAAAAATGGAGCTGTCCATGATTTGTTAAGTGATTCTGGGAAATCCTTACAATTTACAATGTTATTTTCTTGCTTAACAATCTCTCAGATAGCTATTAAGTTCGTCTTCATTTTCCTGTGTAAGATTCTGATTTCAGTTTTAAAATTTGTGGCCTTGTTAACCATATAGTTGACATAAATTTACTTTTTAGAGAACTTTACAAAAATGATATTCAAGGAACCATTCCTTCAGAACTTGGCAACTTGAAGAATTTGATAAGCTTGGACTTGTACAACAACAATATTTCAGGGTCTATTCCTCCTGCGTTGGGGAAAATGAAGTCTCTAGTATTCTTGTAAGTGATACTGCTATGCATTTACATATCTAACACCTAAACTTCAATTTTTAGAAATATTCCCTTTTTCCTCTGCATGAAACTGCGCATTCTGCTTTTTAAAAGTTAAATGAGAGGTATTTTTGATGTGATATGAATGATTTGGGTTGTATATATGTAAAAAAGTAAAGTTTAGATGATAGATATGTAATTATGTAGGAATTGGGTGGTGTGCATGTAAATGTCCTTTTTTTATGTAAAAGAAATCTGTATATCTTTTTCTGTTCTATTTTAGACGGCTAAACGACAACAAGCTAAGTGGGAGAATCCCAAGAGAGCTGTCTGCTGTTAGGAGTCTCAAAGTTGTGTAAGTTTTTCCTACATTTTAATTTTAATCTGTAAATAATCATTTTAATTTTCTTGTGTACATTTCTATAAATCAACATTTATTTTATCTTCTCAGAGATGTTTCCAACAACAATCTTTGTGGCACTATTCCCACTACTGGTTCATTTGAGCACATTCCTTTAAACAAGTAATTTTTTTCTTCCTTAATTTATTTTATTGTCTTCTATTTATATATCTCAAATAACTACAGTAAAAAATTATTAATTTGTGGACTATGTCTACGTACGTAGCTCCACGTGAAGAAGGCAGGAGTACATAACCATTTTTTTTGTACATCATTCTCCATATTTAGAGCTAGAATAAGTAATTTGCACATTACAATGTCTCCTTCCACTCAGATTTCTTCGTTTAGTTTTAGGATGATTTAACAGCCCTATACCCATAGCCAGCGAAATGGTTATATCCGATTCCACGTTCTCTGCTAATAACTGAGTTCTTCTCTAGAATAGTCTACTCTCACCTGTAATGGTTATCTCTCTAACAGTAAGGATACATTTACCTTTCACCTGCTGTTGTAGATAGTTTTCTTTAGCTCAATTCATTGCCTATAGTGATACTGATTGCGGAGATTCAATACAGCAACTTGCATTCACTTACCATTGGAGTCTAACATGGTATCATAGCTTCCAGGAAGAAGATCAAGGTTCTCTTTTATTCACTAAGCTTTAAATCTCCCCGATTCTTTTTTTTCTTTCCCTCACTCTATCACCAATGTCGGCGAACTCTTCTCAAACCTATCCAGAAGCTGTCAATGAGTCATTGAATATAACCGAAATCCCCAACCTTTCATGCCTCAAGTTTTTTATGTCCAATATCAAAGTCATAGCCATTGTTCAATTAACCACAGAAAATTACCCAACTTGAAAATCCCAAATCTACAAACTCTTCAAAGCCAATGTCTTCGAGAGCTTCCTTAATGGAACTACCACTTGCCCCGCATCTCAAATCAACACCCTTGATGGCTATCCATTCCCAATCCTCATTTTCTTCAATGGCAACTCATAGATCAAAACTTATCTGCGGCAATCTACTCTACTATATCTCCCAACATTTTACTCTACACCTTGAATCAACCAATGAAATTTGAAAAACTCTTCAATGTCACTTGCAATTCGAATGAACTCACACCACTTCTCCATGAAAAACCAAATATGTCCCAATACCTATTGACAATCAAATCTCTAGTTGACAACATCACAAGGGCAGAAGGACATATTGATGAAGAGGACAACATTCTCCACATCCTTAATGGTTTATCTGCATCATACCAATCCTTCAAAACAACCATCCAAATTAGATCAAAACAATTAAGCTCGATGTCATGTACTCCCTTTCATGCAGTGAAGAGATAAATTTCTCAGTAGAAACTGCCAAAGAAACAAATGCTAATGCCATGGCTTTGTTCGAGGCAGCAAAAATAGCCTTCGTGGATGTGGTCGTCGCCCTTATCATAACTGGGGCACTCGGGGATCATCAAATTCAAATAGGGGAGATTGAAATCAAGGCTCCGCTACTAATCGTCCAAAATGCCAAATCCGTGGAAAGGCTGTCAAGAGTGCTTTAAATGTCGGCATCACACCAATTTCAACTCATAACCTTCTTCCAAGCAAGTGACAACACTCACAACATCCATCGAATCCTCAAAACATTGGTTACTAGACTCAAGTAGGGCTGTCAAAAAAGCTCATTCGCGAACAGTTCGTGTTCGATTTGTTCGACAAACAAATGAAACGAGCACGAATAATTTTTTTCGTTTGATTTATAAATGAAGACACAAACAATCATTTATTCGATCGTGTTCAAATCGTTATTATTCGAAATATAAAATAATTTAAAATAATTATATATAAAAAATTTATCAAATTTTAAAAATTATTATATACTCTTAAAGCTTATCATATTTTAAGGAATTAAATCCTTTAAATTATAATATGATCTTCAGGTTCGGCTCATAGCTTATATTAAATTCTATAATTTCATATTTATCTTCAGGTTGGCTCTTAGCCTAAATTTTATTATATTTTTCTTAGATTTATTTAGTTTCTTTCAGTGAAACTTAGTTTTTGAACTCTTTGGGAGTCAAATCTCGCATATTGCCCTTTAAATCTAAATTTGTAATGGATGAGATCTGATATTATGATTTTGTTGTGACTTGTGCTTTGACTATTGTACATTTGTGTTGTGATTCATATAAGTTTAAGCATTAATTTCATACAGGTTTATGCTTTTGAAAGATTTCGAACAATAGAAATAAATTTGAAAATTTTTGAACAATTCAAACAATTCGAACTTTTCAAACCTATTTCAAACAAATCAAACTGAACACGAACAATTTTGAACACGAGTCTATTTCAAACACACATCATTTTTTTATGGATGAGATCTGATATTATGATTTTGTTGTGACTTGTGCTTCGGCTATTGCACATTTGTGTTGTGCTTCATACAAGTTTAAGCATTAATTTCATACAGGTTTATGCTTTTGAAAGATTCCTAACAATTCAAACAATTCGAATAGCTCAAACAGTTCAAATAATTCAAAAATTTCAAACATTTCAAACATATTTCAAACAAATCGAATTGAACATAAACAGTAACTTCACGAACAATTTCGAACACGAGTCTATTTCAAACACACTTAATTTCAAACAAACCGAACACAAACATAAGCTTTGTTCGTTTACACCCCTAGACTCAAATGCCACCACCCACCTCACCTCAAATTATGACTATCTTTAGCAGGCTCAACCATACACTGGCTCTAACTCCGTCATTATCGGCGACAACTTCAATATTCCAATCACCGACATCGGACAAGGTATCCTATCAACACCACAACATAAGCTCCATCTTTCCAAAGTTTTTCACTCTCCCTTGTAAACTCACAACCTTCTCATCGTTCATAAATTAGTCTCCAATAATAATTGTGACATTTCATTTACTCCATATGGCTTTTTTTATGAAGGACCGGAGCACCAACCACATCCTCCTTCAAGAGAAGAAATATTACCTCAGGACTCCGCAGGGACAGTTTTTTACTCTTACTTCTAAACTCACAACCTTCTCACCGTTCATAAATTAGTCTCCGATAATAATTGTGACATTTCATTTACTCCATATAACTTTTGTCATTAAGGACCGGAGCACCAACCACATCCTCCTCCAAGGGAAGAAATATTACCTCGGGACTCCGCAGAGACAGTTGCTGTGGAGTCCAATCTACGGGAGCCACATGGATTACCGGGCCCCATGGACAAAACGAGGGAAAATAAATAAAACCATGCATTAAATCCAGCCCGAAACATAGCCGAGCATTCAAAAAATTTAAAAAATATTTCTTCTGATTGTGGACTCGACCCGAATGCGACAATTTATTCAAAAGTTCCTTTTTGTCATTTCATCGACATTACTCTGCGGTTTGATGTTTGGCGTGCGTTCCCTTCCTCCTTAGTGAAACCCTAGTCGTTCGTAACGCATTCTTCGACCTTAAAGTGAATATTCAACAACGAACGGTGACAAAAACGTGGGTTGAGCATTGCATCTAGGGTTCGTGAAATACACAACAATGACATTGAGCATTACACAACAACTAGGGTCCTTCCTCCTTAGTGAAACCCTAGTCGTTCGTAACGCATTCTTCGACCTTCCTTAAAGTGAATATTCGACAACGAACGGTGACAGAAACGTGGGTTGAGCATTGCATCTAGGGTTCGTGAAATACACAACAATGGCATCTAGCAGTTTGATGAAAGCCATGTATGATGCTACATTTTTATTTACAATGGAATACCAATATCTTTTTATGTCAAATAACCTTGAAATGATTGCGAGGTGTCACTGTTGTGTACACAATAATAACACCTCAAAAGGTCCACCATAACACATGAATAACAAATAAATGAAGATTTTTTAGGTGCTATGATGAGATCAATAAAATATCAAGAATACACAAAAAACGCATCAATAACACACCAATAACACATCAATAATACAATAATAACACATTATTAGAGGTTATTCAATAAAACAACAATAATATGTGAATAACACATCAATAACACATTAATAATATAACAATAGCCATCTGGTTATATAGGTGTCATCTACATGTGTTTTGTCGTGTTATGGATGTGTTATTTGTGTGTTATTGCTGTGTAAATTAAGTGATCAAATCAATAACAACCATCTATTGATGTTTTATTGTTGGGTTATGAAGGTGCTGTTTAGGTGTTATGGTTGTTTAGAGAGCAAACACATCTTAAAACTAACAAAACTACTTACATTATTAATTTGTTATTGGTGTGTTATTTATGTGTTATTGATGTGTTAAAACTAACATTATTAATTTGTTATTGGTGTGTTATTGATGTGTTATTGATGTGTCATTAATGTATTATTGATGTGTTATTGAGCTAAGAACATCATTGACACAAAACTAACCTATTTTGATTTATTACTCATATGTCTTGCAGGTAAGATTGAGGTGTTATTGATGTTTAAACAATAATAATACATTAGAAGCTCCTTCGTAACACATGAACACATCGCTAACAATTAAAATGTATCTCCATATGGGTGTTAATGAGGTGTTGTTTGGATTATTTTGGGCTGCTGTTGCTTTGGTAGTTGTGGCCCCAATTAATGTGTTTGATCCCTTTATTTTGCAGGATTATGAACGCAAGAACATTCAACTGTAGATGTCCATCTGCATTAATAGGCGCATTGAATACAATTAAACATATCATTTCAGAAGAGACAATCAATAATTTAAGGAAAATGGGAGTGTTCAATTTTTTTGTTATGTCGCCATATCCCCAGGATAATGTGATGACATTATACATTTTGATATGCTGGGATCATGAGAAGAGGCTCTTCAAAATGGGAGGGAAAAAGATCAAACTGCATGCCGACTATGTGGCTCTGATGATCGACATGCCAAGTAGAGGAGAGCCAGTTAAATGGAGTAAAACTTCTTCGTCTCGCGTGGATGCTAGACAAATAAATGATCAACCGAAAAAGTTTTTTGCAGAAAGATATTCCACCTCTCTCTTTGAGGAGTTATATTTGAAGTTCTTACTAACTAATTTATTTTTTCATTCAAGTAATTTTAGTGTGCCCGCGGGCCTT